GAGAGAGAGAGAGAGAGAGAGAGAGAGAGAGAGAGAGAGAGCGAACGGGAGCGCGTTTCGTGCTTCGGCAATCGCGGGCGAGATTTAAGATATTTACACAGCGCGATGTTCGCGCCCTACGTCGTTCCATTTCGCCATTGTCCCAACCCCGCGTCTCGTACATTGATAGATGTGCCGACGAGCTCGTTGACGCTTTTATTGTGGTTCCCGTGACATCTTTATTTCGCGGCGGGGCGTTACCAAGTCACGATCGCGCGGCTTTTCTCGTGCCTCGAATACTGAGCTTCAATTACGTCCAACCCCCGTTGTTTGCATGCAACACACAGAGTCTCGCGATACGCGAATAGAAAAAAATGAGGTTATTAATAAAAATTCTAAAAGTTTCGAAGAATCGAATATTTGAATATATTCAAACTTGCATTATACATTACGTTTCAGTATTAATTATTAGTACACACGATGATTTTCCAGTCATCTCATTTTTTCAGATATATAAAAATTATTAAAGTGATTCTTACATATATACTTTAAAGGCCGGCAGAAGTCACGAGACCTCTGTCGAAGATGAATTTTTCTTACTCCGAATTACGATTAAAATATTAAGAAAATATAATTGCGATATTCGTAATTAGGTAAGTCGTCTGAAAAAGTGTTTCCTTTTTTTTTTTTGGAAAAAAAGAGTAAAGTAAAAATTTGTTCTGATATCTCACTTGATTTGCACTACAGTGCGGTTGAGATACAGATAATTTTATTTATTATATTAATGTTTCAAGAATCAAATTGCAAAATCGGGCTCTGTACGCGCCTTCGCAATTTCATAAAAAAAGAAATCGAAAAGGTCTCAAACGCGAAATACTATTTCTACGAGACAAAACACGGTTCCTCATTTACAAGTAGGAACAAATCATTTTATTTATTATAAAATTTTTAAGAGTGAAATATATTGCAAAATCTCCGGCTTTACAGAAGGCTTCGGAAAGAATGATTTTGCTGAAGTATCTAAAAATTTAACTAGATACAAATTTGAAAATAATTTTGTTGAACCGTCTAAACAATTACGTAGAAATCTCAAGCATGATGTAAAAAGCAATGCTGTAAAAAGTTTTGACATTCTGGCAATCAGTTCGAGCATCCTACATAATTATTTTGGTTCAACAAAATTATTGTCAGAACTTTAATTAGTTAATGAATTTAAATTTTTTAAATGAAGTTTAAATTTTTAGGTATTTCAGTAAAATAATTCTTTCCGTGTAGCTTCGTAAAACATAAGTCAACACAAGTTTTATGGCAAAATATTTCTTTTACAAGACAATGCACGATAGAGTGTAGATATATATTTACAACGGGAATGAGATGTAAATGAGGTTTCTTATTTCTCGTCACTCTTGCCGGCACTTAATATTTTTATAAAATTATGTGTACTTAAAAAAATAAAGATCATTATTTAGCCAAGTGCTCCTAGTATTTTAAAGAAAAGAAAGGAACGCAGGACACGAATCATGTAACTCCGCCACACAATCATATATATTAAAGGTTAATAAACTGATTAGACTTTTGATTGCAATTGCGTCGCCATTCACAACGATTTAACTTCCCAAGACTCACAATTTTCACGCTTCTATCCTACATATTTTACGATTCCGGTAGCTTAATATTTCCTTTACGTACATATCCGTATATCTATGGATTTTCATATATAATCTTTTTTATAAGTCTTTAAACTTTTCTTGTATCTTTACTTAATAGATTTCGCTCATAATCTAGTGCGTTTCTGTTATTTGAGTCCGTTTGAGTTACCTTACGACTCTTTCGCGCAGAGTCGCGATATCGCAGTATCGTAACTGGAATCGTAAAATATGTAGGACAGAAGCGTGGAAATTGAGTCCTGGGAAGTGAAGTTTCCGCGTGAAGTTAAGCCGCTGTGAATGGCGACGCAACTGCAAAAGGGTGTATCGCATACACGAAACACGTGTGTGTATACTGTACCTACGTGTAGCACAGCGAAGGGAATGCAATCGACGTATACGCGAGATGTATATATATCGTATACAGAACGACTGTGCATGTAGGGTGTCTATGCGAACGAATAATATCTGGAGGAGGGATGCTATCTGAAAGTTTTAAAGGCAGGGGAAGAGTTCAGAGGCTGGAAGATGGCTAGGGAGCAGAAGTCTGATGCAGGGCCATAGGTGTGTGTATGGATAGAGGTACACATGGTAGTGCGGCGTGCGAGGTACAACATATCGTTGATTTGTTCCTGGATTATAACCCCCGGCTCTGTCTCATTCGCTAGAGCTCTATACGCGCTTCTCTCTCGTCGAGAGAACCACGCAGCTGCGTGCAACGCACGATGCCGATGCGATGCAACGCACCGCTGAATGAATTCCGCGTTCATCGCCGTTCGTACGTCACTTACGACCCGGGGACGAATCGGAAAATATTGTCTCGTCGATAGGAAAAAAGGAAAAGCTAGGCAATTCAGTCGCACACGACGGTTCTGCGTGGCTAGAGCTATCGCAAAATTCTTCGATCGTTTATTACGCCGGATTTTTTGCCTTGCCGACATTTTATAATCGAAAATCTATGATACGAAATATAATGAGAACCCTCTAAAATCATTGGAGTGAAATCTAACTCTAAAGAGTGAGATCTCACTTTTAAAAATTGAATCTTCTTTTCAATACCCATTCAATTTTCACTCTTTGCCACTCTTCAAAATTAGATTTTATTTAAAGATTTTAGAGAATAGAGAGATCATTAATCTGAAACAAATATCTTACATGTTGGAAATCTTCTATTCTACTTTTCAATTACAGTTCTAAAGCAATTTATACGTACAGTTATCAATTGATTACATTTGAATGATTTATCGCGTTCTATATTATGTTTTAAAATGAATAAGGTAAAAAAGATACATACAATTAAATTTTCACAATTATCACATTGATATTTTCACGGTGTTGTGAAATAAAGTAAACATTAACAACACATGTAGCGCGAGCAGAACGTTCATCACGTTCGTATTAGCAAACAACGTCCGCGGCTCTCGCGTGCTGTTTTCTCCATCAATCCTGCGTGCTGGACGATGACACGTTACCCGGATGGGTATCGTCAGTAGGGCCATATTAATAGTACAAATAAGAAAATATATTTGTCATAACAGAGTGTCAACGCAGCTGCGCCGCCTCCCCCTGGCTACCGGGGTGGTTTTCCGTTCGCTGGATGTAAACCAGATGGTGGCGCAATTTGCACCTCGGCCTCACGGACGGTCTCTCGTGTGTACAGGCGTGAAACCGTCGGTGGTTGCCCCCGGGGGTCTCCGGGATGCCATCGTGGCCTGTTTGGTTGGTTTTTGGGGGTAGCTCTCTCTCTCTCTCTCTCTCTCTCTCCTCACTCACCGCTTCTGAAGGGGGTGTCGTTGTGCAAACATGTTGCTATAATGGGATCGTTCTCTGTCTGTCGCGTCAACCGCGACATAGATTCGTCTTTCTCGCCCTCTCGGGGGCTCGTTCCGTTCGCGTTGATACGCAATATCCGCGAATATCGCGCCTAACAGATTTCAGCACCCTATTGCGCGACGCGGAAGATGACTTTTGCGAAATGAGGATCCGCCGTCAAGGCGAAGTAGAAGCTAAACAAATAGGAGAACAACTTGGGGACGAGCAATTATATAGTCGCAGAATTGGCTCACGTATTGTATAACACTTTTCGATTTTGGCATATTGAAAAAATATGAATTTTTATTCCAATTGTTTTTGGATGAAACGTTGACACGTAAAAAGTAATTAGACTTTCAGAATTAACTAAATAATATTTACAGAAATTGTGTGCAGTAATTCTTTATACGGAAGGATAATATTTCTTGTATATACATATATTCATATATGTCAGTGTGTTTTATATATACATATACATATATTTTTTTTTATATGTATGTTTTATATATATGTATGTTTTTTATATGTGTGTTCAGGAAAAAGTATAAGTCTTTTGCGAATACATATATATTTTTTGTTTTGAATATATTTCCATACTGATATCTCAATAATCCATTGTTGACAGAATATTTTTCTAATATAAACAGTACACGAGATGCCTCAGTGAGCGATTAAAGTTTCCGTTTATTATTTCGACACGTTTCTAGATAAAAGACGAAAGGATTGCGCGTGGCTTCTGTCTCGATCGGCGAATACGCACGGCCGTGCAGCTCGAAATCCCTCATACCTCATACGCTTCAGCGATTCGCGCTCTCTGTAACAACTGTTACAATGCCGCCGATAATAACAACAACGACGACGGGTCCTGCTTTTAAAGGCGCGGGCATAGATTCATAGGATCGCACCCCTGGCCACATTGTGCTCCGGTAGGATTATAGGGGGTTACGTGAGGGGGAGTATTACGGGGGACGAAGAAGGCGAAGGGAAGGAGGGGTAAATCACAACGCATTCGCGAGCTTGCGGCCTACGAGGGGTTGCTTTTTGTCCCCCTTCCCCGGCCTCTCTGCCGTTCCTTTTCCGAAGAGAAAAACCTGCGTAGATGTGCCGCATTTTTCGGATAGTCATACGTATATGTATATGCGTGTATATCCCGTTTGTGTAACCGTAACGTGTAACTATGGACGAAAAGTCTATACGTGTCCGCGTGGTCCTGCGTTGTGTGTATTCACGCACAAGATATATATATACGCACACTCTACTCGCGCACATACAAGCCGAACCAACTATTCGATCTCAGGGGTGAAAACAACCCTACGACGAGCTCTGATTCGCGCATGCGTTCCGGCGAACACCGTAGCCACCGATGATCCCAGGGGATGCTCCAATACACGCGTGACGGGACGTCGCGCTCGTACACGCGCTCTCCCGTACGGCTCCTCCCTTTGGTCCTTGTTATTGTTGCGATTTAATGAAATGTTACGCCCGCTCGCCCGCGATTACTTTCCCATTGCACCGATTAACTCCCCATTCGGTCGGTCTCGTCTCTCGTAGCGGGACACTAGGACATCTTTCCTCTCCGACAATCCCTGGGGCTGCTGCTTCTGTCGAAGACAGAACTTTGTACCTTGTTGAAATGTGTGCCGACATCGTATGATACTTATCGGGGAGTTCAATTGATTTCTAAACAACGATGTTTTTGGATATTTATAAAATAATAAAATACCATAAAGATATCTTAAGAATCGCTGATAATTGTATTCATGAACTCGTTCATAATTTCATAGCATCTTTGCGGTTTTTTTTTTTGTTACAGGTTTGGTTCAAGAATCGCCGAGCCAAATGCAGACAACAATTACAACAGCATCAACAACAGCAACAGCAGCAGCAACAGCAACAGCAGACCCCTCCGTCGAAGGGTTCGCCCAGATCAAATCAGAATCTCAGCAACAGCAGCACCGGAAGCAGAATATCGACGAGCTCGTCGACGACGCCTAGTAGGCGATCTTCTCCAGATTCACCGGTGCAAGGTAGGGACGCACCGGTAGCAGGAAACTCACCTTTGTCGACCCCGCTCCTGTCGACCCAATCGACGTATCCCCGAAATGTTGGAACGACGCCAACCGGTGGCAGCGGAGCCAACAGCAATCTGACGACCCCATCGCCGCCGCTGACACCAAGCTCCAACCAACTGCAGCCATCGTCCTATCCAAGTGCGATGAATCAAATTCATCATGGCGAGACTTACAGCTTCGGCTGGAGCTCGGCGGGGTCCGCTTCTGTGAACCACAGCCAATACGCCGGTCAAGGTTACAATGCTTACGCTCAAACCTCGAGCGTATACGGTGGCGACTATTATCAGGCTCAGATCCCGCACATGCACCATAGCCCGCAGACTAACTACCATCATCCGCAGTATCATCCTAACATGACGCTCACCCCGTCCATGTCGCATCTGACTAGTCATCACCTGAATCCAGTGACCAGTCAGACGCAAGCTACTAGCAACGATATAGCGGCTGCTGCTGCCGTCGCTGCTGCTGCCGCTGCGTCGGGTGACGATGCCGGTTACGTGCTGCCTGATCAGAAGTATTCGCCGTTAGTATAGCGGTCCAGCAGGTCCTCCGGGATCTTTCAGCGGGGTCAGGAAACCGCGAGCACGACCGGCACCTCGATGCCCTATCATTGGCGACTGAACACGGCGATATGTCACGAGATCAACGGTAATCTGGATTCCGACGACAATTGATCGTACAGAAGAGGGACTTCGCCAAAGCAACAGTAGATATGCTCCAGACTTGGGTATGATAATTCGAATCATTGCGCGAATTAGTTACACAAACTTTCTGCATCCGGAATGGACTGTGACGGCAGATATTAGCTAATATCGCAACAATCGCGTACGTATCTCACTAAACTTAAAAAAAAAAAAAAAAAACAATAATGTTCGTGGTGATCTAATTTTAATTTGATATCATTTTATAATTGTTTCATCTTCTCAGACAACGCACGTGCATATGCGAATAAAGTTAAGAAACAAACTATGAAAATGTACAGGAATATGCGAATCTCACAGTATTTGTGCAAGCAATATCTCTTTTACTTATAGTAAAGGGCAATTTTTTAAATAAAAATTATATATTATGTTCTCTTTACATAAATTAATTTCTGCAATAGTATTTTTCTAGGCGAGCGACTCTTTCATATATTGTTCTACACATAAAGATTATGGTGAAGTAGAAAAATTAGTAATTCACAAGATACACACGGTATTTAATTTCGAGTATGTAAATTCGTTCATCAACATCATTGTGCAGATGAAAAAGAAAGTTTTATAAAATATTATTCAACTAATTAATTTTTATTATCATTTTGTGAATTTATTAATAAAGAAAACGTTATTTTTTCAGTAATGAATTCACTTACAGATTATTATGTAAACTTGTTTTGGAAAATTTTCTCTTCAACCACAATTTTAATTTTATTCCAGAAAATATTCCGTATCATCATATTGATATGTTAAATGTATTTTTTAAATTCTTTTGTATAATATTTATAGGTCACAAAATATAAATATTAATTATATCAACATGCAAATATTCAGTTATTTAGCCCGGCGACAGTGTTCATTTTTCCATTTCTCTTCTTTCTGCAATTTTTCATAACGAGACAGTTAAATTATTTTTATCTCGTACGTTATTTTTATCCTTTTAAATCAAATCAGCGTTGGACAATATGTGTAAAATATATTTTTGAGATATCAAAAATATTATGCAATAATCAGTCTTTACAAATATGTAATTTAATGTAATATTTCACTGTCATTACTGAACAATATCATGAAAGTTTATTGTTTTGAATTAATATTACTAACAATAAAACAACATTTATTTATTTTAGGAATCGATCCTAAGAATACAGACAATCCAAAATCCTAATTCACATTTGCCGAAAGGCAATTTTTATCAAATTGCATATCTTCAATGGCGAAAATTATTGTTCCTCTTTTCATATTTTTGCCACAATTCCGTCGAAAATAAAATCCACACTCGTAGTTCATATTTAACGCTGAACTCTAGATTGTCTGAATTTGAATTTTACTTAAATAAGACATACTTTGAGTGCAAATATTTTATACATATATTTGAATGAAGATAAGCGGATTTAGCAATAAATGTGAATTACGAATGTGCAAGTTGATAAACGATGTCAGTCCATGGGAAAGTCGAATTTTATTTCCGAGAGAGAGTAGAAGGAACAAGATAGTAAGCTTATCCTTGTAAATAAAAATAAAAGGCTATATTCATGGAAATTGTCATCAAACTTTCCATAAAAAGCTTGTACACGTCACACATCGGAATTTCTTTTAAGATCTAATCTATGATATTCTTTACATTTTTAAGATTAAAAGACGAGTACTCATCACTGCCGTCTTTATCATTGGTATTATCCTTATTATTACGATTAACATAGATAATTATCCATATCAAATACGGCCATAGTAGCCAAGAAACTCTTGTAAATAGTTAATAATGATTGCGCGTAAATACGAGAGAGAAGAGATGTAAAAACTCATTCAGAGTTCTATCACGAGATATCGACGATATCTTTATATATTAGAAAAAGAAAGAAAAGGGAGCGAGCGAGCGAGCGAGAGAGAGAGAGAGAGAGAGAGAGAGAGAGAGAGAGAGAGAAAGAGAGAGAGAATAATACTAATAATAAAGTGAGAATTGTCTCGTCCCACAGAATCTTGTTATATAGTCGTTTCTTTCTATAGTACTCTTCGTCTGTTCGAGGGACTTAAACTTTATAAAAGTTCGCATTGCACTTTTTCGCGCGATAACTTAATTATCATAATGTGTTTTCTGATAAAAGACAGAAGTATATGCGAGAATGCCTACTTAATTGTGAGTGTATATTTCGTGTATACTATCTAATGTATATTATCCTGTAACATTACGTTAGATGATGTATAATTAAAGAATAAAAAAAATATCATTAAGATTAATGATAGAAAGGCGATAAAATCATAATTATGGACACGCGTAGATCTAAGCTACTTTGTAATAATACGATGCAAATGTACATAAAAACGTATATCTCTTGTAAGATACATGATTGTTCTATCATGTGCGAAGGGATCTTCCTACATCAGAAAAAAAATATCGCATATTATTAATAAGTGGTGTCAATTACTTTTCCCGATCTTTAATCTTCCTAGTATTTCCGACAGATATCTATCGAGAGCACTGCCCGTTTGTTTTAGTAAATCGAAATTCTATCGCCTGCCGCATATGCGGCCTGACGTGCGGATTACATTTTGAATTGTATATCTGTGATAGAGTTCCCAGGACGCGATATGCAATCCCTCTTTCCATTTTGGCCTCGCAGCTTTATAGATCGCGAGCCCAGTTCTTATTAATCACACTGATGTTCGCAAGACCCTACCGCCGCGGGCTGCAATTCTGCTAATGCACTTGAAATTAATTAACGTCAAAGCGACCGCACTTCGTTATTTGAACGGTCGCATATATATCGATCTTGAACCATTAAGCCTATATTAATTACGAACTCGCGGTTGCGCAAGGTAATCGCGATGCAACATCGTCGCTATACCATACGCACTCCCTGGTGTCTAATTTTTCTGCCATGCAAAATATGCGGATGCATTGCGGAACAGATAAAAGCAATTAAAAAATTTTCTCTTATCCACTTAATATCTGAAATTAAAAGATCTGCAATCCAGCTGTATGACGTCTCTAAATCTAAAGTGTATAATATAATGCTGTCATGCACTTAATTTAATTATTTACATATACACATAAAAAAACCTAAGTATTAATAATTAGCCGATAGAAAGATAACGAGCTCTTCAGTAGCGCACATGAACGCACGTGATCTTGCAAACAATAAGGAGAGAAGTACATCGATCATAATCATTGATTGCTAAACTCATCTCTTCTCTTGGTCCATTAGAAAATCACAGGTGTTATGGATTCTGTGTGGATACGTTCACGTACCAAACAATGATGAAAGGGTGTGTCTATCAGTAGCGTATTTCTAATGGTCTAAACATCACAACACAAAGGACCCCATGCAAGCATGAAGGAGAGCGAGAGCCGCCCTTATATGTCCAACTAATTGGACAGGTCGCGTACCTGTCTATCTTTTGACGATGTAATCCGGCTTCCTTTCTAACTCATCAAATTAACGAGCTATAACGAATCGCTCGTTGCCTATGCGCGCTTTGATGACCCTTTCGCATAATCGAGGCACAAATCCTCCGCGACTTTCTCTTTAAAGAGGATATCTATCTCATGAAAAACAGAGATGTCTTGACGCAATAGTTAAATCGTATCTTACATCATAACAGTGAAGAATAATTTCACAGAAAATAATCATATAAAAACTTTTATTAATTCTCAGAGAGGCAAGAGAAATTAACAATTAATCCTTCGGAACTGACGGTGGATCTATAGACCCATTCAATTATACAATATTATTCTTTACATTACATCTTGCAAATTATTATTATTATTAAAATATACTTAATATTCATTCTTTTTTATACTAGTTGTGTCATTTTGATTCCTTCAAATTAATTAGTGCTTTTTAATCAATATAAATTAAACGAATCTCACAGAACTGGCGTCAGTAACTGTGTTATAGACTTTGACATCAGCTTCGGAGGATTAATGCTGGTTTCCACCTATTTAGATTAACTTTTATCTCGGTAATCAACTTACTCTTCCTCCTTTTCTTCTTTACTTCTTCCTCTTTTTAAAACTAGAAAATGATGAAGAGTAAATTGAACCGAGATTAAAATTAATCTATCGGTGAAAATATGGACATAAATTAGCTGTTCTAATGATGCTTGTTTAAAAGTTTCGAAAATATACTAAAGCACGAAGGAAAGAAAATATCAAATAAATCGACAAAGCTGCGTATGTATCGAAGACATATTAAAAGGTTTTTCGCTGAATGTCAATTCACAGATCAGAGACCGTATTCGTAAAGAAAGATGCGGTGATCAGAAACAAAGGGACTCTAGAAGAAAAGAAAAGATGTAATACTTCGCAACGGGGATGTCGTCGATTCTCGCTGTGAATTGTGATGCCGCTTGGCTTCGCCAAGGTCCACTGGCCGACGTTCCATTCTTGCGGCGAAGACAATGGCCTTGAACTTGGCCGAGTGTAGCAGCGAAGAGTTAAAATCGGCTTGCATTTAGCCGGATCCCATTATAACAACTACGGGAGAGTCCCCGGTAAGCTTCATGCCACGGTTCCGCTTACTGTGTCACCAGGCTAAGCCCCGACTTACCTACCTATATCCTCGCAATGGTTCTCTTACCCCTTTTCCTGTAGCGGTCTCTATGCCAGTTTAATACTTGCATTATCCTCCTTTCCTTCTCACCTATCCAAAACTTTGTCTCAGTATAGGCAACTAATGATCTGTGTTTGGGTAAGAAGACAAAAGGCGACATGTTCACCATTAATGGATCTACGAATCAATCGGATCCATCAGATTATCGAAAAGCAACCCTGATAATCTTGCAAAGAAAGTCGTTTTCTCAACGCGAGAAATCAAACAATCGCAAAAAAGCTAAAGAATTCAGATTGTAACAAAATACATGAATTGTCATGTTATATTTTAACAAACACAGATTTTTTTTCTGCAATTTGTGATAGACGATGTCGCTCCCTTATTTTAAAAATAATAAAACTTAATAAAAATTAAGTTTCCTAGAAAAGGAGGAAAACTACTATTTTTCAACTTGACAGAAAATTTAATGATGAATCAACTTTCGAAATTATCAATAACCAAGGTAATCAAGGGCTGAGAATGAGAATTTAACGCGATAATCAATGCGTTTAGTTTTTTTTCTTATTATATTTCTATAATAACACAACTATCATTTATTCCATAAACGTTTCGGATGTCCTTCGAGCCATTTTGACAGAAAATTATTGAGTAATAAAAAATTTTGAGTTGTGATAATTTTAACGATTTCTTAATGAAGTTCATTTTTGATGATTGATAGGGTAATATTTACAATAAATCATAGTTTTTTAGTTGTATAATTTTTTAAGCAAGATAGCGATATCTCTACTAAAATAAAGATACAAAAAGAAAGCTGAGAATGAATCTGAGAATGAAACAAATTGCTCTCGCATTATAATTTATAGCTA